TCTACATTTGTATTTTTCTTCATGATTTATGCAATATGGATGAGTTACAGAAATAAGCCCTCGTATTGGGCATATGTTTTGCAAATGTTTCCTATCATATGGATTTCGAATAATTCTGCCAATTTATGTACTTTATTCTCAATTTGCTTTTTTGATGTGAAGACCTTTTCCTCTCCAAAGAAAAATGTGCAGGTGTCTTCTCCCTACTTGCTATACTAGAGTAGATCAAGGAAGGCTTTCTGGAAAAAGTGACTTTTAATTAAGAACTCCATGGATGAGAAGCACAAAGTAGGTGAAGAGAGCAGGGAAGAGTGTGGTCAGCAAAGGGAACAGCATATGCTTCATCCCTCTCCACTCACCTCTTGCTACAGACTTACCTCTGTGGCTATTTCTGATCGCACACGGATGGCTCATTCTTGATCCATCCTGGCTGCTATGGTCTGAATATTTGTGTCCTCCCACCTCCCCATATTCAAATGTTGAAATCCCAATGCCCAATGTGATGGCGTTAGGAGGCAGGGCCTTTGGAAAGTGTTTAGGTCATGAGGGTGAAGCCCTCATGAATGGGATCAGTACTCTTACGAAAGAAAGAAGTTCCTACAAAGCTTCTTAGGCCCTTCTGCTGTGGGGATACAATAAGTGGGGACCCTGAAGAGAGCCCTCACCAGGATCTGACCCCGCTGGCACCCCAACCTCACACATCCAGCCTCGAGAACGGTGAGTAATACATTTCTGTTGTTTATAAGCTACCAGTTGGTGGTATTTTGTTATAGCAGCCTGAAGAGACTAAGGCACTGGACTTGACAATTCCTTTCAGCTTAGCTCCTTTCCCCTTCAGCTGGACTGTCTCAGTTTTTTAAATTCAAAGTGAGAATTTGCTGCGTTAGCTCATCCAGTCGCAGGTTGGCTGGGTAGGATGGAGTAACGGTGGTAGGGGTTAGATAATAGGAAATAAAATGATCGCACTGCCTCTTTAGCAGGAGCTTGGAGTGACAGTCTCCCATCAAAAGGGGTGTTGTTCTGGCATATAATAACAAACATTTACGGTTCACCTTCTCAGTCTTTAGGTTCCTAAAGGACTTCATGAACACTCACATACTGATTGGTAGATCAGTTGGTTTAGGCAAAGTTATGCTGTGGTATAAAATGATTCATAAGCCCTGGCCGGTTTGGTTCAGCAGTTAGAGCGTTGGCCCACAGACCAGAGAGACCGGGGTTCAGTTCCCGCCAAGGGCACGTACCTCAGTTGCAGTTTGTCTCCGGTCCCAGTTGGGGTCGTGTGGGTGGCAGCCACTTGATGCGTCTCTTTCACATTGATGTTTCTCTCTCTATTCCTCCCTCTCCCCCTCCCCCTCTATCTCAAGATAAATGAAAAAAAAAAAATGTCCTCGGGTGAGGATAAAAAAAAAAAAAATTTCATAAAATCTGCCCTGGCCAGTTTGGCTCAGTGGTTGGAATGTTGGCCCAAGGAACAAAGAGTCTCGGGTTCAATTCCGGTCAAGGGCACGTACCTCGGTTTTGGTTCATCCTTGGCCCTGGCTGGGTCGTGCAGGAGGCAACCAATCGATGTGTCTCTCTCACATTGATGTTTCTATCTCTCTCTCCCCCACTCTATCTGAAAATAAATGGAAAAATATCCTTGGGTGAGGATTAAAAAAAAAAAGATTCCTAACATCTAAGTGGCCTACAACAAACATTTCCCAGGTGTGACATGGCTCACGTTCCTGGGCTGTGGCTCTGCTCTGTGCCACACGCCTCCTCACTGCAGGACACAGACTACCTGGGACACACTGCTCGCCTGGCAGAGGGAAGGAGAAGGCTGGTGGAACCACAGGATGGCTCTCTTTTTTTATCCTCACCCGAGGACATTTTTTTTGCATTTATCTTCAGATAAAGCGGGAGGGAGAGAGAAGGGGGAAGAGAGAGAGAAACATCGACGTGAGAGAGAGAAACATCTACACGAGAGAGACACATGGAGTGGTTGCCACCCCCACAACCCCAACCGGGGCCGGGGCCAAACTGCAACCAAGGTATGTGCCCCTAGAGGGAACCGAACCCGGGACTCTCTGGTCTGCGGGCCGCTGCTCTAACTGCTGAGCCAAACCCGCCAGGGCACCACAGGATGGCTCTTTATTTTTTTTATTTTTTATTTTATCCTCACCCGAGGACATTTTTCCATTTTTTGTTCAGGTAGAGTAGGAGGGGGAGAGAGGAACAGAGAGAGAGAGAAACATCGACGTGAAGGGACACATCGAGTGGCTGCCACCCGCACGACTGACAAGAGCCGGGGACAAACTGCAACCGAGGTACATGCCCTTAGCGGGAACCGAACCCGGGTCTCTCGGGACCGCAGGCCGACGCTCTAACCGCTGAGCCAAACCGGCCAGGGCCACAGGATGGCTCTTAAAGATCCTGCTTGGAAGTGGTAAATACTACATCTGTTCCCCTTCCACTGGCCAAAGTTGTTGCATGACCAAGTCTGAGGTCAGTGTGGAGGGAGGATATTTCTCCCATAGGAAGAGGAGGTAAATTAAAAAAAAAAAAAGTTTTTATTGATTTGAGAGAGAGAGGAAGGGAGAGGGAGAGAGAAACATCAACTGGTTGCCTCCTGTATGAACCCCAGGCATGTGCCCTTACTGGGAATTGAACCGGTGACCTTTGGAATAACACAAACTGTCCAGGGCAGAGGTGGTAAATATTTTGAACAAATAAACACTTTCACATCACAGTTTATCACAGCCAGTAGTATCATTAGTTCCATTTTGCAGGTGAGAAAACTAAGGTAAAAAATGGGAAATCAGTTGTTTGGCTCCAAAGTTGGTCCTTTCTACCAAGCATTCTTTTGGGGGGAACTTTTGTTTTCTACACTGTGTACACACCTAGAATAGCAATTTATTCAGGGGCACAACCACTTCTAATCAGCCCCAGAAGTTTCTTCAGTCCAGCCCGTGTGGCCCAGTGGTTGAGCGTCAACCCATGCACCAAGAGGTCGCCAGTTCGATTCTGTCAAAGCACATGCCCAGGTTGTGGGCCTGATCCCCAGTGGGGGCCATGCAGGAGGTGGCCAATCGATATTCTCTCTCATTGATGCTTCTATTTTTTTTTTTATCCTCACCCTAGGACATTTTTCCATTTTTTGTTCAGATAGAATGGGAGGGAGAGAGAGAAACATCGACGTGAAAGGGACACATCGAGTGGCTGCCACCCGCACGACCAATTTATTCAGGGGTACAACTGCAACCGAGGTACGTGCCCTTAGTGGGAACCGAACCCGGGTCTCTCTGGACTGCAGGCCGACGCTCTAACCGCTGAGCCTAACCGGCCAGGGCTCATTGATGTTTCTATCTCTCTTTCCCTCTCATTTCCTTTCTCTGTAAAATCAATAAAGAAAAAAAAATAATAATAAAAAGTTTCTTCACAGACATTTCTAGTGCTAAAGCGCCTTTGAAAGTTTCCTGGAAGGATCTGAAGCTAGAAAGGGGTCATGCTTGCCGAATTGCCCCCATGTGAGCAGACTCTATTCCCTTTAGTGATTCTTTAAACTCTTGAATTATTTATGAGCATTATGGATTTGTAGATCCTGTGAACAGCAATCGCCTATCAATCTATCACCCTCTGTTTTTGCTTTCTTGTGTGTGTATGGTGTGCCTGAGCTCCTCAAAGCTATTTTCTTTTTTTTTAAATCCTCACCAGAGGATATTTTTCTATTTATCTTCAGATAGAGTGGGAGGGAGGGTGAGTGAGGAAGAGAGAGAGAAATATCGATGTGAGAGGGAAACATCCACTGGTTGCCTCCTGCACCATCCTGGCTGGGAAGGAACTGCAACCGAAGGACATGAACCAGCGACTCAAGGGTCGTGGGCCGAGGCTCTAACCGCTGAGCCAAACCGGCCAGAGTTCAAATATATTTTCTAGGTAATTTTAGAAACTTCTAGATTGCATTGGATATTTAAATGCAAAAAATTATTAGTGAGGTAGAGAGAGCACAACCCATCTACTTTTGCCAAAGAGCAACAGTTTTAAATTTTGGAATCTAGTTGCAGTGGGGATGGGGTAGAAATTACAGCCAACGCAGCATGCTTCACTATGTTTGTAAACATCTGTTGATTTCAGGGCTGTCTTACCTGTTTTAGTGTCTGGTTCCCAGCTGCTTGGTGTTGTATAACACGTGTAGGTGCTGACTTACCAGGCTTACGTGTGTCCATCAGGGTGGGGATTAGGGTAGGCAAGTAAGGTGGCTAGGCCACTTAGCTTAAGGAGACATTTGCAGGAATCTGAGTTTTCTTGCCTTACTCCAGTACTGGCCCTGGTATCCATTTAGCTCCATAGCATGAAAATGCCCCAGGAGGGCTTACCTGTGAGAATCACCTGCCCGCACCCCCGCACCCCTACTCTCCTCCCCACCCCCCGGACTCTCCTCCCCACCCCCATCCCCTACTGGACACACAGGAGATCCTGGAAGACCTTCTGCCCTGTTATTTCGCTCCACCTGTGAAGCTCATTTCTAGGTTACTGTGTTCGTGCGTCTGACTCAGGCTTGGCGCAGAAGACCAGAGAGAGTGTGCGCCTGTGCCTAGGTTAGGCCGGCGGGTCCATATCCGGGTGGACAGGGTGGGTGGAGCCGCCACTCCCTCCAGGTCCCGAGGTGGGTTGGGGGTGGGGAGTGACGCGCAGAGATTCCCTTTCACCCCTTTGGATCCGGGAGGGGGCGGCAGAAGGAGCGCCAGGGGTGGCAGAGCTTGCCCACCAGCGGGTCGGCGCCGGGAACGCCCCTAGCCCCTGGGCCTGAGCGACCGCTAGGACTCCGAGGAAGAGCAGGAGGAACCCGGGGAGGGCTCGCCGAACCGGCCATCCGCTCCGAACTTGCCCGGGAAACTAGTGCGAAGGGAGGGGCCGGGCCGCGGCGGGAGGAGGGGCGGCCACAGCTGCATCCAGCCCCGTTGGCTTCCTTCCCTGCTCTCCTTCGCCTCCTCCTCCTCTTCCTCCTGTATGAGTCAGGCTTTTCCCGGGGATTTGGAGCAGCCACACGCGGCCCGGGCGCCCCGAGCTGTAGCAGCAGCCACCGCCGTCACCGCGTTAGGAGCCCCAGCGCCGGGGCCGCCACCGCGGCGGGCACCCGGGTTCCGGGCGCGCACAGACCATGGAGAGGGCGGCCCAGGGCGCAGACGGCGGCGGGGGCAGCAACAGCAGTAGCCGCAGCAGCAGCCGTGCCACCTCGGCGGGCTCCTCGCCCTCCTGCTCCCTGGCGGGCCGGGGGGTCTCCAGCCGGTCGGCGGTAGCCGGGTTCGGCGGCGGGGGCAGCCGCAGCAGCCCGGGCTCGGTGGCCGCTAGCCCGTCTGGGGGAGACGGCCGCAGGAGGGAGCCGGCGCTCGAGGGCGTTCTCAGCAAATACACCAACCTCCTCCAGGGCTGGCAGAACAGGTAACGTGCCCGCCGCTGCGCTCCTCCCTGCGCGCTGCTCCGTGTGTGTGTCAGTGTGTGCGTGCGCGGTCGTACCACCCGCCGGCGGGGTGCTGTCTCCGCGCGGGTGCCCTCCTCGTCCCTGCTCCTTCCCAGGTGGGGTGCCCAGGATGGGGCGCGCCGTGACCCCATCCCAGAGCTGCACCACGGTGGCGGGGAGGGAAGCCGGAGCCCTGGTTTCCTTCTGTGCGGCACCTGCAGGGGCCGGAGTGGCAGGGGAGCGCGCTGGTCCCGGGCCCTGCCTGCTAGCGTTTTCCTGAGGAATGGTTGAGAAAAGGCGGCAGAGGGGGCGTGCTTTCGGCTTGGATGGAAAGCGTTAATACATTTGGTCCGATCACTGCAAGTCTCTTCATAACTTAGTTCATTTAAAACTTTATTGTTTAAAAGCAACACCACCACCACCACCACCACCAAAAACCTACCACTTATCCTTGGTGCCTTCCATTGCGCGTGCTACCCTCTGCCCAGTTGGTGGCTTGGAACCTCCAATCTCTGCAACGCAAGTTTGGTTTTAAAAAGAAAACCTCTCCCCTTTACGAACGGGCAGTGTTTGTTCTTTTAATAATTAATAATAATAGTAATAGTAATCATTTCCCCCACTAAGTGCCTTTTGGAAGTTCCCTGCTCACAACCCTCACAGTTGGGAAGCCTGCTAGGAATATGTGTCCTGATGCCCATGTCTAGGGAAGGAGCAGAAGTGATACTGTTATCACTGTTATTTACATCGTTTTACAGAACAAGCCAGAGGCAAATACAAGTGGCCATGCCAAGAGAATGGGGCTTTTTGGAGAGGTGGTTGATGAGATCTTTTGTCCTGCCTTTAATGGCCCTTGGATCTTAGGATTTGGGGTTCTTAAGGGTGCTTGAGAGATTTGAATCACACCCTGGGAGCGCTTGATCTTTTCTGCTGGTTAGATTACTTGGTCAACTCTCCTGGAGCTGGTTTATAAAAGTAACTCAGATTCCTTCCAGCTGAAATTTACCAGGCAGTTATTTACATGTAATTCAACTAGGAGCAAGATGACTTCCTAAGTTTGGAAACTGGGTTGTTTCTATATTGATACTATAGACAGAGAACTTTCCCAGTCACCAGGTTTCCTTGGAGATCTGTTGTAGAAGCTGCACTTTAACTTTTAATTCTTTTTATTTCACAAAATAGCCCCAGTATCTGCTCTTACCTCTCCCTTTTTCCTTTCAATTCTTGAAAGCTGAAAACGAATAGGTAGAGTGGGTAGGACCAGAGAGATAAGATGACTGCGTCTGATTTCAGTTCTTGGTAATTGTGTCTTATTAATGGCACCTCAAGGTGCCTATCAGTGACAGCATTTTGTTTGTGTGTTGGGCAATCACTTTTAATGTCCCCACTCCCAAGTAGCTTATGAGGCCAACAGCTTTTACCCTGAATTGCAGTTATTTTACTTGGGGACTATATTTTTCCTGCAATGTATATTAAAGGACTTATTCTTTGGAGTGGATTTAGGAGGGACTGGAGTAACTCATGCTTTTGTATAATTTAAAATACTCTGGGGTATTTAGGTGGAGGCAAGATTGAGAAAAGGCAGAATGAATAATAATATTTCCTACATGATCGCAGGCTCCATAGGTGAAATGATACTGTGCACACTCCTGAGATCTCATCCTGAGTCAGTTACTGCAGTTTATAGCTGCCTGCCCACGTTCAGTGTTCTTATCGCAGTGGACTCACCATTTTCAAAGTGTACCACTGACTCCAGAAGCATTGTCTCTTTCTAATGGTTAATGTCTTGGTGTTGGGTTGTGTTTCCCACATCCGAACAGGGGCCGAGGGTCCATTAATGATCTGGACATTTATGGTGGCTCTGTGATTGCACATTCGGCCTTCTCAAGGGCTCTTACAAAGGTAGAGCTGGATCTGTGAAAAGGAAGAGAGAGGGGATAGAGTGGAAACCTAGAGAATGTAATTTTTGTTCATGAATTTATTTGTTTAGAGACTCTTTTATTGAGGATCTACTTTGTGCCGGGCACTGTTCTGGGAGCTGGAACTACTCCAGTGAACAAAACACATGGGCATCCCTGGCCGGTTTGGCTCAGCGGTTAGAGCGTCGGCCTGCGGTCCAGAGAGACCCGAGTTTGGTTCCCGCTAAGGGCACGTACCTCCGTCGCAGTTTGCCCCCAGCCCTGGTTGGTCGTGCGGGTGGCAGCCACCCGATGTGTCCCTTTCACGTCGATGTTTCTCTCTCTTCCTCTCTCTCCCTCCCACTTTATCTGAACAAAAAATGGAAAAATATCCTCGGGTGAGGATTAAAAAAAACAAAACCACACATGGGCATCGTCTCATGAAGTAGTGCAAGAGACGCCGAATGAAAGAGTAGGAGCCCACACTTTCCTAGTCCAGGGGAATGCCTTGCTGCAAGTAGGTGGGCTAACTAACCGAGTTACCTGCATTTTCGAGCCTCATGGCATCTGCCTTTGATCGTTCTTTTCAAATCGCCTGCGGTTCCTGACAATCTCCGGCCCCAAAGTTCTCAGCGAGCCTTCCATGCTTTGAGATGCCCTTCACACCAATCGCCCACCAGCAGTTTTTACTCTGCTCTCCTCTCCCATGTCCTCAGGGTACTGTAAAGCTTATCTTTTAACATCCAGTATCATATTCTGCCTTAATTTACCTGTAATACTCTCAGCCCCATCACCATGCCCTTAGGAAGGCAGTTTGGGCCAGAACACAAGATAAATGACATAGAGAGGTCACAGGAGAGAAAAATTCACGTTGTTGGGACATGCTAAACTCAGGCGAGTATGTCCAGGACAGGTGCCTCACACTCATCGGCCGAGAGAGTGTGGAATAATCAGAGCATGGGGGAAAGACACATTAAGGAGTTTCTAAAATTTATTATTATAGTTATTTAAAGTAAATGCTTCAGATGTAATAGCATGGTGTAAACTACAGGATGGTGTTAAAGAATGCATCTAAGTCATCTAAACAATGGAACAGACATTTTCAGAAAGTAGCAGGTGCTATGAAGATTTGAAAAAAGATTGATGAAATAAAGGCAAGTATTCGTGGAAATAATTTTAGCGTGGATCTAGTGTTTTCCCTGAAATTCACAGCTTAGTCGAGAATAATATCTGTTCACCCACCGTTTGTTTTATTTTTTAATTTATTTTTTAATCCTCACCTGAGGACAGTTTTGCATTTATCTTCAGATAGAGAAGGAGGGGGAGAGAGAGGAAGAGAGAGAAACATCCACGTGAGAGAGACGCATCGACTAGCCACCACCCATACAACCCCAGCCGGGGCTGGGGACAAACTGCAACCGAGGTACGTGCCCTTAGCGGGAACCGAGCCCGAGTCTCTCTGGTCCGTGGGCCAACGTTCTAACTGCTGAGCCAAACCAGCCAGGACCCCCACCTTTTGGTTTTTATATACAGTGAACCAGGGGAGAGTGAACTCTGAGAGCTTGAGGAAGCAGGCCAGTGCCTTGTGGGTGAGGGGAGAATTTAACACTGTGTTGCAAAAGGTGACATGGCAGGGAGGTGACATGGTCTAATGTGTGCTTTAAAAAGTTCTCTCTGGCTACTTCTGTGTGCAGATGAGATTTTCAAGGGACCAGATGGGGAAGCAGAGGTAGCAGTTAGGAGCCCATCATTGTGGTCCAGGCAATAGATGCTGGGGGCTTGAACTTGGCAGACAGGGCAATGGAGAAAAGGGACCGATTTGGAGTGGGGAGGGTAGAACTTGCTGATGGATTGGATGAGGAGGTGAGAGAAAGAGAGGTCAGGGAGAGCTCTTGAGTTTGTAGGCCTGAGAGGCTGGGAGGGAGAGGTGTCCTTTTTGGAGATGGGAGTCACGGTGGAGGAACATGCCTGGGAGTAGGGTGGGGGGCAGCAGAGTTCCGTGTGGGTGGTGTTCAGTTTGAGATGTCTACACCTAGTAGGAAGTTGGCTATATGAACTCTCATTTGCCCTAAAGCTAATTTTAGTCTCAACCCAAAATGGAAATACTTAGGGTTTGCTTCTAATGTCAGGCGTTTGAGGAAGTAGTTTCTAAATGGATCTAGGAAGTGATAAATGTGAGGGTCTTCATTGCCGTCCAGTTTTTGTTAGATGCAGAAAAGAAGACACTGCAAATATGGAATCAGCCTTGAATCCTTTTTTTGATCATTGGTGTGGTTGTAAGAACTCAGTAAAATACTAAAAGGCAAATCTTGAATAGGATAAGACGAGTGTTGGCAAAGGAAAACCCGGGGCCACCAGCAGACGCTGATACGGAAGGACAGAGCAGCTCAGGGTGCGAGTCAACTCCCGGTATCAACATTCAGCACCGTTAGCACACGTGTCACCCTGGGCCGGTTCCTTAATTGCTCCGGGCTTCCGTTTGCTCATCTGTTAATGGCGAACATGATGTTACCCTTGCCCTTCTCATTAGTTCAATGTGAGGATGAAATGAAGATACCGGTGTGTCAGGGACTGAGCATCCGGAGAAGTGGTAGCAGTTACTGGATCTTCGATTTGTCCCTTCTGAAATGGACTCTTTGTGGTCCATGACATTCTTGGTTCATTTTCTGAACGCTTTGAATACCCTGGGACCCATTAATGTAATTATTGCAGAGTTCTTTGGAGAGGAGATGATGCCCTTTTTTGAAGGGATCATTTTATTTATTTCTTATTTTTTTAATCATCACCCGAGGATATTTTCCCATTGATTTTTACAGAGTAGAAGGGGGGCGGGGGGAGAAACATTGATGTGAGAGAGGCACATTGATTGGTTGCCTCCTGCACGACCCCGACTGGATCTAGGGATCAAACCTGCAACCCTGGTACATGCCTTTGACAGGGAATTGAACCTGAGACTCTTTGGTCCACAGGCCCATGCTCTTAACTTCTCTAAGCTTTAACCACTGAGCCAAACCAGCCAGGGCTTGAAGTGATCATTTTAAAACTTGGACCCAAACATTTACATCTTTGTGGGAAGTGACTTACTC